TGATAGCTTCTTGTCTTAATCCCCCACGCTCACCCAGAATACAGTCTTGTCATTATGACTGACGAGTTGAAGTATGTTTACCAAGTTCTCAGGAAGGGACAACTGTATAGATATAGACAGAAGCTGTGTGCTCAATACAGCGAGACAAGAAAAATACATGGTCTGAGATTCACAGACCTCTTGAATTTACTGTGCTATGATGACCACAACCATCTCACAAACTTCTTGATGTATCAGGACACTGCTCTTCCTAGAGGAAACCTTGTTCCTCCTCAGCAGAGATTAGCAGCAGAGTAATTCACCACCTCCCTGGCAACCCAGCTACTGGTTTACAGGAAGCATGTCTGATTTTTGGTTGCAGTCAACTGCTCCCCAAATTACTGCTGTCAATGTGAGGCAATTCTGTCAAAAAGCAGCCCAGAACAATCTTGTGCACGGACAGCTGCTGGCTAGCTGGGAGAGGTACTCCTGATGCCAGAGGAAGAACAGTTTAGGGGTGGAAGAGAATAGGCAAGACTTTCAAAGGACAGGTAACCCTCTCTAGTCTTCTAGGCTGCAGGATGAACTATTTAAGCATGCTGCTTGACAGCATATATACAAGAGGGAGATACTGAGAACAAAAGCCATCTGGGGCTGCGATATGCCAACTTCCTTCTGTGAAGCCGTATTACTTTGATGCCTAAAAGTCCAGTAGCATTCACCACAGGCCCTCCAGAAACACATAGCCGTTTTTTAATTTTGAACAGTTGGCATTCCCCACCATCCCCTACACTCCCCTAACTGCTTTTGCTTCTTTCCCGAGTGCTTCTGCCCTGCCTGGATCCACAGCATATGGAGCAGCAGAAGAAGCCTATCTGCAGCCTGTGTCTCAGTGCGTGACAAAACAGCAACACTTTTAATCTCATTTCTGAAGGGCACAGAACAGAAGCCTCTGGAAGCTTTTGTCTGACCCTCAGCCTCCATTCCCCAGGTACTACTGGTCAGTGTCAACCAAATTTGACCAAGGAATAGCAGGCCTCGATGCAAGCAAGTTTCCAAGTGAAAATCAGATTAGATAGCAAGGAGACAGCCAAATCTGTCCCTGGGGGAAGCTGGGTGGTCTTGGCCATCCCCAGGGTGGCTGGCAGCCACGTGACAGGCCTCACATACCTCCTGGGCAAACAGCACAGGCAGCACGTGCCATCCTGCCCGTGGTCACAAGAGGAGATGGGAGGGAGCTAAGGGAGACAGGAGGGAAGCTGGGACTGACGGCGTGGCGAGGATGCATGGGGCCAGTCTGGGCTCATCTGTTCTGCTCTTCACAGGGTAACATGGCTTTAGGTGCATCTAAGCAGCAATTACTGCGCTTAAAGATAGACCTACCTTTTCCCCTGCAAAAAATTACATATCCCTGAATTATTAAGGTGCCTTTTCATGAAGAAATGATTTAATCTTGTGCTTCCTACCCCATTAAGTGAACTGCTGAGGTTGAACAGTTATACTCTACTCCCACCTCTCACTGTGACTTGGGATCAAGTCACTTAACTTCAGCTTACCCAATTACTTGTCTGTCACCCAGCTCTAACAACTGCCTTGCAGTGAGACCAGAGAGCTTAGCCTGTCGACACAGAAGAAGCCCTCTGGATATTACACAGGCAGAACAAACCGCTTGAAAGCATTTAATTTGCAGAAATTATCAGTAAATAATTTCAAATAGCAAATGAAAATTACCTCATTTATTAAAACTTCCGAGTAGAAAAAGGCAGCATGTGAGCACATTACTCATTACAAATTATCCACTTAGATCTTGGAGTGTAACTGTAGTGAGAAATGTGCTATAGTGAGAGGTTTGGAAATTGAACTGAGACCCTTAAGAGCCATTTCACACAAGCCATTGAACAGCCATCAGGTGGTAACACCTTTGGGCCTCTGCTAAGCTGAAAACCATTTGAACAGACTTAAGGCAAAAGATTTTTTATGTCATTGCTCCCTCCTGGAGACATCAGGCGTGCTGTAACTTCTTTAGTTCAGTTCAGCCAGGAGATGTCGCACCACTAACTTACTGATCACTGGTGTAACACAAGCACTGGTGTAAGACTCTGGGAGTAGGGTTGTTTAACATTCCTCACAAATCTTTTTTCTTCCCTTGCCAGACAGACGCATGCTAGCAAGACCCTTACACACGAAGATCCAAAGTCATTGTCATTCCTGAAACCTACCCATGAAAAGCTGCAGGCCTCAGACGAACACCTTTTTTACCTGCAAAGATGCATCACCTTTCCCTCACCACTTACTGGAAACAGCAGAAACCAACTGCTAAGAAGACACCCATACTCTGATTCTTTCCATTAACTACCCAGCTTCTTATTTTAATTCCCAGATACAGGAAAAACCTGTTAGGATAAGCAATAAATATTTCATTGGCATTCCAAACTCTGCCTCTCCCAAATTCTTAATTTTTTCCCATAATTTTTCACATGCGTTTGGGGCCTGGGCAAAAGGAAAAGGAAATAGTTTCCAGTATTTTTAGTCTTGCTGTTAAATTGTTCAGACAAGGAGCATACATGTAGCAAACTCATCTTACAGTACCAGACCTTCTCCTCCAGCCTCAACAGGAATAATGCAGGTATTCATTGTTGAGCTTTAGCCCTTGTCTCAGTCTGAGTAGGTGCATCACATTTTCATGTGCTGATACAAAATGAATCTCTGCTCTATTTGCAAGCTACTTAAAACTAATGCAATCTTCAGCTCTCAAATATGAACTGCCAAAGGCTACATCTGTCTGCTTCAGGGAACGGCTCTCATCTCAAGTTCCCAGAATCTGCATAAATGAACAGAAGCAGCCTTCGAGCCTCGCAGTGAACAATATACCACTTCCCCCCAGTGCTGCAGATCCTGTTCATCTAAATCAACATCATGCACGCTCTGAGGGGCACCAGAAGAATTTCACACAAAATTAGTATCTCACAACAGCATAAAAAATGTTGTGCAGAAACAGTAATGACAGTTTTTTGTGGAAGAGGTACGGGGTCACTGAGCTATGTGGGGTACACACAGCCCTGGCCACGCGAGGTGTTCCAGGCAGGTCAAGTTTACTGCAAGGACAGCACCCAAGTGTAAGCAAGTATTTGAAATCCATAAAATACCAGTTGCATTTGCCAGCACCAAGGCACCACAAACATATAAAGAACCTACTTAATATCTGTGTTAAACCACATTTTAATTGTCAGCATCGCTGTACAATTGCGCCAGGCTCTGAATGAGTACCACGTCCCCACAGGACCACCATACAGCACACGAGGCTACCGCAGAGGCGACGAGCGATACCATGAGGTGTACGTTGCCACCGTGCCAGGCTGGCTGAGCAGACCATCTAATACGAAAACAAATGACTACTTTAAACAAAGCAACTGAGCTTTAGGGTTTTATGCAATGCAAGACTCATTAAGCCCTATGCAAATCCCTCTGACTGGATGTTCTCAACAAGCCCAAGCCCACATGTGTGCCTAGTTCACAAGGACACCCGCAGCCACCAGACGACCTCGCAGGCAGGGTAGTGCCTGCAGGCAGACAGGGAAGGGACCGGAGAGCCCTTTCTCCAGTGAAAGTCAGCCAGGATTTGCCTTCGTTACCTCAGAAACTCAAAAGGATGAACCCGAAAAAGATGACCTCATTGGCAGGAACCATCTGAAACCTGGTGTATTAACTGCTACGGGAAGGAGTTTAAATTCCTCCCTGTCCCAGGGAGAGCCGAGGCCTCTTCATTACGCCCCACACCGTGCAGCCGCGAAAGCGACGGATAAAACAGACGGGAGACCCCCACGGCCCCCCCCAGCCCCACAGCCGGGACCTGCGGCCGTTTGCCGCCGAGAAGGGCGG